GAGTGCCAGAGGGCAGACCTTGGTGCAGTGAGTGTAAATTAGAGAGAGAGGCAGATTTTGGCTCAATGTAAGAAAGAGCTTTCTAAAAATAAGAGCTGTCCAATAATAAAATGAGATACTTCGTGTTATAGTGAGCGCTCCATCATGGGAGCTATTCGGGCAATGGCTGGATGAACATCCGTTAGGGATGTTGTAGAAAGGATTTCTGCAGTGGGTAGGAAGTGGGACCTTAAAGGATTTCATGCAACTCTAAGATTCTGTGCTATTGACCCGCCTGGTATTAAGAGCCTGATCCATTGTTATCTCTTGGGAGCCTGACGAGGCTAAAACTCTGTTCTTTTGTTTCTGTATCCATGTTTGGTAGGAAATTTATACATAAAATGAGACTTCTGGTAGTCTTAGATACTCTGTCCAATACCCAGCAGTCATACTCTATTAAGTATATAATCATGTGTTGTATGTGATTAAATGCTGGTCATTGCTGTTTAGAGCCCCCCAGAACAAAATTCACCTGCTTTCATAAGCATAAACAAAACGAATGCTTGGTTCCTTGTTATTGTTTGGTTCTTATGGGTCCAAGATCCCATCAGGGATCAGTTCCATTTTCACTTAGTTCTGCTTAAGATAATGGCTATAACTATAGACTTAACAGGTTTCACAAATGCCAGCTTATGAAGAGGTCTAGGTGTGCGAATGTGTTCAAAACCATCACCACCCCTGGAAAAATGATTCCAAAAAGTTCAGTAGTATTTATATATACCTTAGAAAATTAATTATTGTTGTTATGTTAATATAGTACTTAATAGTAATACATCTGTAGTAGAGGCTTTGCTTCTGTTGAGATAGCATAAGAAGCTATTGGGAATGAGTGGGGAATGACTTGTGCAAATTGCTCAAAGCTAGTGCTTGTTTTCATTTATTTTGAGTCCTGTACTTTACCTGCTTTCATATTTCTTTGAGTGCTAGGGAAAGACCTATTCAATCAATACAACAAACCTGCACTAAGCACCTACTGTGTGTCAGGCAAGCAGTGAATAGAATGCTAGCCTTGGCCTCTTCCACAGGTTGGCTTTGTAACATCTCAGTGCCTTAGGCCAGAAGTGTCAAACACACTTCCCAACCAGATTAAAGTGAAATTGGAAAATATTTAACAAAATAAATAAAAATACAATAATATCTAGATAACGTTATACTTTAAAACTAAGTCAGATATGCAGCCTACGAGAATCTCTATGTCTGTATTAGTGGCCTGGGTTTCTATTTGAGTTGGAAACCACTATCTTAGGCAATTTTCTAAGACTAGAAAATCCTTCTGTTTGGGTAGAAACAGTTGAATACATTAATGAAATCATAGGTCTGGACCCAAAACAACTTGCGAGGTCCAAGGGCTACAAAAAAACAACAATAAATTCAATAGGCACATGGATGAACAGTATAGAGTAGGGATAGGAACTGTACCTTTGAGTTCATTGGTGTAAGGAACTCCTAGGTTGGCACCTTCTCTGGAGTGTCTAGAGCCCTGAAAAGTTAAATGACTTTCCCAGGGTCCCACAGCCAGTACGTGTCAGAGGTGTCATTGAATTCAGCATTTTCCTGTCTCTGAGACCAACTTCTATCTGTTACGCTACATCCCCCTCTCAAAAACAAAGTATATACAAGACAAACGCAAAGTAACTTTAGGTGAGTGTGAGTACTAAGAAATACAGGTGGAGGGCAGCTAAGTGGCGCAGTGGATAGAGCACTAGCCCTGGAGTCAGGAGGACCTGAGTTCAAATCCAGCTTTAGACACTTGATACTTACTAGCTGTGTGACCGTGGGCAAGGCACTTAACCCCTTTGCCTAACTGAAACCACCCCCCCAAAAAAAAACAAGAAATAG